ACACACACACACACACACACACACACACAACAACAACAGCAACAACAACAACATCATCAAAAAAGCTATTATGTTTATGAGGACACACACGTTAGCCCACAATACTTTAATACAATTTATATTGCATGCTGACTCCTGAGTTTTATCGACGACCTGCAGATCGATCTCGGCAATGGATTTAGAAAGCGAAAACAAATGACCTATTTCTTCCGCTTACAGTTACACCAGAGAGGGTTTACAGTAATATTATTAGTAGTATTAATAGTATTACTGTAAACTCTCTGGTTACACGCTTAGAGCACAGCACTATGGTATGAGCATATCATTGGGATTTTCCGCGCAATCGGACGCACATGCCAGGATATGGGTTTGAATGGGACATCGAGATAGAGTGGTCGGTTCTTATCCTACTGTCTGTCCGGAATATTAATTAACTCTTTATTAAAGAACGAAGCGGACTCATTATCATGTCCGATCAAAAGCAAAGACGTGTAACATTTAGAACGTTCATACACAGATCAGGAAGTCGAATTTATGTATAATATATATAGTATGCATATTGTTGTTGAAAAAAAATTAATAAATGGTGAAATGGCATCGATTTTAACACCCATACCAACATTGTTAATTAGGTTATTTAAGAAGGGGAACCTCCGAGTTTAACGTCCATCTCCGAAAGGAAGGACCGAGCCAAGCGGGAAATTCGTGTAAAGTGCCTTTCCCAAAGACACAACGTCGGACCGAGCTGAGGCTCGAACCCCCGAACCCGCAATCTCACAATCACGAGTCCCATAGCCTAACCATTAGGCTACCGAAGCCACATGCATGTTGTCGCTTGCCTTTTAAAGTTTCAGATAAAAAAAGACAGAATTGAAACAATCTGCATGAATACAGAATATTATCATATTTCACACAGCATATCTTTAAGCTGACAAGAAGGAGCGTCCTAAAAAAGTTACCGTAAACATTACTTTCTGGAAATCTGAGGCTGGAGCTTCCCTCGCCGTACCTTCAACGCCCAAGTCCAATTAACAACAACAACAGCAACAGCAACAACAGCAACAAGAACAACAACAACAAAAATAACAATAACAACAACAGCAACAACAGCAACAACAACAACGACAACAGCAACAACAATAACAACAACAACAACTGCTACTACTACTACTACTACTACTACTACTACTACTACTACTACTACTACTACTACTACTACTACTACTACTACTACTACTACTACT